GAATTGGTTTTATTTCTTAATTATATGTAGGAGGGTTGCCACCTGTTTACAATATGGATATCAATCAAAATTGCTTTGAAGACACTTTGTTTCCAAACTACATGTAGGAGGGTTGCCACCTGATTTAAAAGTTCAATTCAACTTGAATTGACTTGACTAATTTAAATATGTATAACAATACGGGTATCAGACGAAAAAGGTTTTAGTTTGAAATTAGTTTTAACCCAGTGTTATCACCTGTTTACAAAGTTAAATTTTATGTACACGATAGGTAAAAAGAATTACTACAATATGGACATCAATCAAAATAGCCATGAAAGAACTTTATTTCTAAACTGCATATAGGAGCGTTGCCACCCGTTTACATAATCAAGTTCAACTTAATTTAAGGGCAATAATAAGTGTCAGACGACAGGTTGTGGTTTAAAAATATTTTGAAGAGTGTTGCCACCTGATTACAAAGTTTAATTCAATGTATGCAATAAATAAATGAATTACTACAGTATGGATATCAATCAAAACTATGAAAAACTTTTTTCCAAACTATATGTAGTAGCGTTGCCACCTGTTTGAAAACTTAAACTCAACTTGAATTTCGTATTCTACGTTTAAGATTAGGGGCTGTGACTGATTTTTTTATTCATAGTAGTTACTATATTTTATAGGTCCGCCAAAAAGTTCAGAAAATGCAATGGGGGACCAATAAAAAATCGTTGGTATTAAAAAATGATTAAATAAACACTTGGGTATTGTTATTGATAGTCTCGTAAACTAGAGTTTTCTGATCGAAAAATATTGATTTTTAAGAATTCTATATCATTTCTACGAAAAGTTGTTTTTTTTTTCCATATAAAATGCATGGAAAACTTTAAGGGCTTTGAGCGACCTCTAAATATTTTCAAAATAAAAAATAGCGGTATATTTTTTTTTTGATATATGGGCGTTTCCACCGGAAAGTCTACCGCGAAAAAAAATAAAAATCCTATATCTAACTTATCTATAGGTCGATTTGGCTGCTTTTTAATGGACTCCAAAAAGAGGAGAAGGTTATCAATTCGTCGGAATATATTTTTTTATGTATGTTACCGCATAACTTTGGGCCACGTCAACCGATTTCGATAATTCTATCGGAAAGGTAGTGTCTCACAGGTGGTCTCATACTAATTAGGTTTAGATCCTATCATTGGATCATGAAAACATTAACGGTACTCCTAAATTTTTATATGAGAATTGAAGTCGGTTGTGTTTTTTGCTTCAAACTTACTTGTTATAATATATGCTATGCATACTACTAATATCTTTAAATCGCTACTACCAACAGTTGTAATTTTTTTACTGAATACGGGGCCATTTAATTGCTTTGCAAATCTAAAAAAAAAGCCTTTTAAAATTTTAACTTTTTCAGATTTTTTTTAATAATTTTCATTTAAAATATAGTTCGACCTAGAACTGAAATACATAGTAAAGCCCTGTATGCAGCTCTCAAGAAAACGGTCAAGAAAAAATTGTCATTATTTCGCGTGTGTGTCCAAGGAATTTTGACATTTTTTATACCTCACAGCCTGTTGCCTCACTCTTTCCTCAAGAAATAATGGAACGGGCATATATTTCTGTTGCAAACCTGGGTTGCCTTGTGCTCTTTTTTCACAAAAAACTTTAGAAAACCGTAGTAGAAAGCGTAGTAAATTTCTTAAGAACTGCGTACTGCCTTAAGCTTAGTATCCAGCTCTTAAGAAAAGCAAAAACTCCATATAAAATGACGTACAAAAAATGGCTAAGAAATTTTCTTGAGTCAAATTTCCTTAAGGCAGTACGCAGTTCTTCAGAAATTTAGTACGCTTTCTACTACGGTTTTCTAAAGTTTTTTGTGAAAAAAGAGCACAAGGCAACCCAGGTTTGCAACAGAAATATATGCCCGTTCCATTATTTCTTGAGGAAAGAGTGAGGCAACAGGCTGTGAGGTATAAAAAATGTCAAAATTCCTTGGACCCACACGCGAAATAATGATGTGTGTCAAGTTAGCACTACACTTTTCGAAATTGGAAAAGTTAACTCCGGCATTAATTGTAGTGTTTTTTTTGTAAATTTGTTGTGGAAAGAAAAAATTTGTAGCTCTCGTTTTTTAAGAAAAAATGGTGTGTAGTGCTAACTTGACACCATACACCTAGTCGATAGAATTGAGATATCGAATATGTTACTATGCCATTAATTGTAGCTTTTAACTTTAAAATTTGTTGTGGAAAGAAAAAATTTGTAGCTTTCGTTTTTCTGGAAAAAATTGAGTTGACCCTTTTTCGAACAAAATTTAGTATGTAGTGCTAACTTGACACCATGCACCATTGACGACAGAATTGA